TGTCGAACAGAAAGTTCTTGTTGACATGGGCCTAAGCCGAGTATATAATGTAGATACTTAGGCGACATATTCCTGTAGGTACCTGATGTTGATCACTTCCTAAGGCAAAAGGATGCATTCGAGTGAAGTTCAGGGCTAAAGTTGACTTACGAGATTGTGAGTGGAAGTGAACTACCTTTCCTAGATGTAACAATCTCGTTAAGAAAGGATGGCTTTCACAGTACAGTCTGCACTAAGGAAAACATCATAGAATGGTTAGCCTTAAAGCTAAGATTGATTGCCTCGATAGGTACAAGAAGACTGATGTCAATGCCTGTGTCAACCCACACAGCTCCAGCTGAAACGAGGTTGACGAGGAACTCGGTAGAGAAAAGCAGGTCCTGGTCAATAATAGATTCTCTAATGAATATGTCGAACATGTGATTAAAAAGAACGTGGGCCGCCTTGCAACCTCAGACAAAACAGAACACAGTACATTACCGGTCTCTTCCACTAAAATATTACACTGGAACTTCTCCACGGTCCACAAAACGGGAGATATTCCTGTAAAACATTATTGAATATGATCCGTACCGACACCAACCAGAAGACTCAAATAAAATATACTATAAGAGCAACAAGGCTGCCAACGTGCTCTCGGAAAACTCTCCTGACGTCAAACAAAACTCTTTGAAAAGAGACGAATATTTTCACTGTCTTCACATGCCCACTTGCATGTGAAGTGCCCCAACGAACTCATTATATAGGGATGAACTCAATATATAGGGAAGACAATATCATCATTTTCAAGGCGCCAAACAATCAACAAACGACAAATCCTATGTATGATCATGCAGCCTCTACACATAACCAGATCATCACCAAAGATATCTTTACAAACAACACCAAAATAATCATTGAAGCATAAGTGATTTGTAAGCTGCAATGAACGTATTGATCCATAAGTAAGGTGCTTCACCGTCACCTCATCCCCAGCTAAATATATCAAGCAGACCAAAACTGGGAACCACTTGAACTCTGCGTTTGATAATGTTGACAAGCGTTAACGAAACCCTTCTCTTAAAGTCAGGCCTCAACAAAATTGTAAAATGAGCTTCAAAGAGTTAAATTTTCAACATCCTTCTCCAGTGAAGAACTATAAGAAAAATTTAGAAGATTCGTGCTCGAATAATTGATCTCGCCATTTCTCTCGTATTCAATAATATATATATATATATATATATATATATATATATATATATATATATATATATATATATATATATATATATATATATATATATAATTTTTATGTGTGTGTGTGTATTACCTAACAGCCAGAACGCACTACTCGGAACGTATGCAAGATCCGATTTTCCTAACTGGGTGGGTGATTTTCGTTATTTAAAAAAATATATCGAATTAGATTATTTGTAAGAATATCATTACATTTAAGAACCTGAATTACTGACTTAGTTGTGTTTGGTTAGGATAGGTTAAATTAGAGTTGGATAGGTTTTGTCATATTTCTGCTTTAAGTTTAACTTAAATTAAAAATATGAAATCCTTTAGAATATATTTGAATGTTTTATCATTCCATAATACAAATATAAAACTATAAATCATTTCAGGAAAACTCGGCTTGCTTGGCAACTCGTGCCTTGCATACTAGGCCAATTAGTGCGTTCTTGCTATTAGGTACGACATATATAATTGGAAAAACAGTAGTTAGCTGTCTCGCCCAATATTAATATCTTCTTGGACTGAAAGAAGCAGCCACTTGAGGATGCAGGAAGAAAGGAAGGATGAAGGATACGAGATATGAAATACATGTGCAAACTATAGGCGTTAAACCTCGAAAATGATACAACGCATACAAAAAAAAAAATTAAGAAATTGTAATCAAAGACCGATAAAACAGTTAACACAATTATTGTTTCTTAATAATAATGCAGGAAGATAATAAGATATTAAAGCAGACCCCATGACATTTTTTAAATGTACAACGAAACATAATGGAAATTAACACACAAACTGTGTAGCGGAGATGTTGATCTTGAGAACGGAAATGGGTATTGTAAGACTAGATTACATTTTTATCCAAAATGTTATAAGCTATTTTATTATCAAGAAATGCATCGGTCTTGTTCAAACCCAGGCTTATGTTCAGTGTACTATCACAATATAATTAGTTTAGACTCAATTATATGTCTAGCACTGAAAGTCTTACTATAGACCATAACATTTGAAATTTTCCAATCCAACGGATCGACAAAACTTTGCTTGTGAACAAGCAATGCATGAGATGCCAGCCCTGACATAAACAGTTCTATACTTATGTTTTTAAACACAATTATTAATATATTCTTTAGGGGAGCGTGAGATTTGTGCTACGCTCTTAATGTAAGAGAGAACGAGAATATTTCTGAAGGACAGAATCAATCTGGGACTAAGGCAGTAACATGATTTCTTAGCTTGTTTCAAAGCTATACCTGCAATGGATTTAGGATATTGCAATTTTGAGGCTTTCACAAAGAACTTCAACATTTTGTCATCACTGTTTTCAGGACTAAGCATCCGCAATGCCCTCAAAAATATTCAGGATAATATATAATGTTTCAGAGTAATGTGATGGTTCAAATATAAACGTGCGTATGAGCTAACATAAGTAAGCTTTCATTTCATGTTAATTGTTTTATCAGTCTTTTTTTATTACTACTTTTCTCCTAATTATTGTTTCCATCTGTAACCCGTGTTTTGCCATTTTCGGGATTTAAGGAGCAGTTACGCTTATATTTCTTATCTCCTTTCTGCTTTCGTGCCTAGATCCCTCAGTGTATGCTTCATTTTGTCCTGGACGATGTCTATATCTGGACGAAAGAGCAAAATGCGCTTTCCAATTTCACTGTAGTTGTTATATATATATATATATATATATATATATATATATATATATATATATATATATATATATATATATATATATATATATATATATATATATATATATATATATATATATATATATATATATATATATATATATATATATATATATATAACATGTAGCAGTCCTTTAGACTTAAATGTTTGAATATGACTGAAAGGATTTCATTAAAGATTCTTGCACGGATCATATCTACACTACTGGAAGTACAATATGAATCTGCTCTAATGCTAATAGTGTGTTCCCAGACAGGTAAAAGCGTGCTCTTGTCGATAGCTATGTCAGCTGTGCTATCACACAGCTTCTTTGTAGTTTGAAGCAGGTTTAATGAACACTTGGAAGTTATAGAAAGGTTTATGTCAACAATTGATAGTCCAACGGATTCTTCGAATAAATTAATAAAAAGGAAAGGTGAACCACAATATCTCCTCTGGTAGAAGACTAACACTACAGCATATTTTCATCTATTCATATTCATGTTTATATTATGTCTTTATTCATAAATGTCTGTGCATATACGGTTGGGTAAGTTTACACACAATTACAAGTCAGCATTTATCTAAAATTAGTAAGTCAAAATAATAGTAAAAAAGTATTAATTTTGTTCATATCTATATTTAGATTTAAAAGCTACATTTATCAGTAATTTAACAATTCATCCCAGATGTATCTGTAGCGAACATATGCTGCAGCAATAGAAAAAACAAAGTTTGTCATCTGAGCAGTGAAAATGACACTGTCAAATCTTATTGTATATTTTTTTCCATGACAAGACAATTTGAAGAACGAATTTAATCTAATTATACCATGAAGGTATAGATTTTTGCAAACCCTCAGTATTTGATATCAGCAATTTTATCGTAGGCCTAGATAAAAATCACCTTTCACACAGAGCATTTAACGTTGATCTGATATTATTGAATTCAAAATGTTGTCATTAGGCAATATATTTGTGCTAAACTCTTGCATAAGAACTTTGTTCAGAGGCTCCTAAAACCGAAGTTTTGAATGACATAATTGAAAAAAAACTGACCCGACACATCATTGACAAAAACAAGACAAACCACATGAAACTTCTCCAAAGAAGTCTTCCAAGTAATTAAAAACACACACACCACCAGGACAGAAGCTTTGAAAGAGACAAACGTCGCAGGTCTTTTACATGCCCACTTTGGGAGTGTCAGCCTCAGCGATCTCAGTATATAGGCAAGACAACAATATCTCTTTCAAGGAACTTGTGCACAAGCATAAAGGGCCTATCGAAGATTACATCCTTTTTACACTCACCCTGACCATCAGCGGAGAAATCTTCACTGACCACCCTGACCGGCAGACCGGCTTCACTGGGAGCCAGTCGGCCGAGCGGACAGCACACTGGACTTGTGATCCTGTGGCCCCGGGTTCGGTCCCGGGCGCCGGCAAGAAACAATGGGCAGAGTTTCTTTCACCCTATACCCCTGTTATCTAGCAGTAAAATAGGTACCTGGTTGTTAGTAAGCTGTCACGGGCTGCTTCCTGGGGGGTAGAGGCCTGGTCGAGGACCGGGACGCGGGGACACTAAAAAACCCCGAAATCATTTCAAGATAACCATCAAGCTCGAAGTAATCGACATCACGATAGGAGATTAGATATTGCCGTTGCATAATAAATGAAACACTCATCCAGTTATCTAAAGCCATCTTGCATTTAGTTACATCTTACCTACCACTAGAACAGGAGAGACACGTCGGGACAAATAACACCGTCAATAGATATTTTGATAATTATTTTGTTTTCCTTCCCAAGTGAAGAACAATAATAAAGAGAATATTCGAGTTAGAATCATCGATCAATTCCTTTCGTTCATATTCAATATGTCTACAAGAAACATTGCTCCCAAAATTATATACTAACTAATATACATATATATATATATATATATATATATATATATATATATATATATATATATATATATATATATATATATATATATATATAATAAACACTGGCCATGCTAGTTTTGAGCGGAATCATCATAATAAATAAATAGAGAGAGTTGCAAGACACATCAACTGGCCATGCAGACACTTACCTGGCTGCTAGTGAGTGATCTACTAGCTACTGAACGGGTATCTAGCAAGAGAAGGGGGAGGTCGAAATTAGTTAGTATGCATAAACGACCAAAAATCATAAAAAAAGGTATCCGACACCATCATTCAGGATCAGGCCCAGAGATAGAGGTTCCCAGGTATACGGTTTTTGTTTTCGATTTTTGTTTTGTTTTGTTTTGTTTAGGTGGCCGTGTTTACCAAGGAAGGATTGGTTAGAAGAGTGACACAGAAGAAGAGCTGCATGAAAATACAGAAGTGGAAACAGAGAGGTTGAGAAAAAAATAAGATTGATGGAGATTACTACTCGAGGCAAAATTTAAACGAGAAAGAAAAGGCTTGTTAAACAGAGAACGATAGAGATAGAGATAGTGATTGAGGAAAGCAGGAATGTAGATAGGTTGAACCGAAGTATGAAGGCGAGATTGCGGGAGCTCATAGACGAGAAGAACATTGAAACAAATGGCAGAGTCGAATTGGAGAAGAGACACAGGTTCAGATGGGGAGAGAGATATTCGGAAGAGAGAGAAGCAGACTGAGAGGGAACGAGATCTTCGGAGGAGAGTGAATGAAGATCGTTGAGAAGGAGAGATAGCTTCGGAAGAAAGAAAAAAGCAGGTTGAGATCTTCGGAGAAGGGAGAGAGGAGCAGGTTGAGAGGGAGAGAGATCTTGAGAAAAGAGGAGCAGGAGAGTTAGAGACCAGGACTTGAAGAGTTATGGAAAGTCATGCATGAATCGGAAACGAGGAAGTATTCGGATGGAAGAAAGAAGTGTAGTGGGAGATGAAGACTGGAGGATACGACGAAATCTAAGAATTGGAGGAAATTGGAGAGGAAAGGGAAGAAACGTGGAGAGGGAAAAAACGAGGAGAAGGAAGAAACGAGCAGAGGGAATAACATGTTATAGGAATACAATTTTTGAATAAATAAGACAATTAGAGATAAAGAAAGTGAAGTGTGTGTAACAAGAATGAAGTGTGTTCGTGAATGGATGTAGTGAGTAGAGGAATATCTGAAGAAAGTAGCTAAATAGAATATAGGACTAGGCATTAAAAGAATAGATGTGAATGAACAGGAGAAGGATGTAAGAAAGTGAAAAATAAAACTTCAAAGTAGGTAAAAAGAGAGCAGGGAATGGGTGAGGGGAAGGGCGGGGTATTCAGGATGTTCTAAGTTAAGGGAAGTAATAAAGGTGAACTCAGAAGAATGGAGAACGGGGATAATAAAGGTGTAGTGAGGTGAATGGGGTTGAGGTAGTAAGTAGAGAGACACAGTATGAGGGACACAGTAAGATAAGACTATGAGGAGGCAAGGGGAGGTATTATTGAGGGGAGAAGAAGTGAGGCGAAGTGGAGGAGAAGGAGGGGAATGGTGGAAATCATGGACAGGGTTTATAATGTGTTAATAATTCAGAGAAATAAATAAAAAAGTATATAAAAAATTTTTGCATCATAAAAACAACAAATAAATACAAATAAATTAAGTTAATAAATCCATTTAATAATATTTATTGTATTCATGGCGATTCTTTGTTAATATTAGCAATAAGATTAAAGAGGATAAATTCTGAACAATAAACACCATCAGATGTTCAAATGATTCAAATGACTTGAATTGATCATCTCCAAATCAGTTCAATTGAAGATGATCAATTAAGACGAGAAACAAAGAAGGGCCGACAACGAAAATAAATTGATAATAAGAGTAACAGAGAAACAGAATTGACCGAAAAGAGGAAAATGAGAAGAACGGAAAGTGCGTCTATTGCAACACGCTGTTCATTATTCTTCCTCATATTGTGGGAGACGAAAATATGACGAGGCGAAGAGAATAAGAGAAAAGGAAAGAGATGAGACATACAGAAGAAAGGTGGGAAAAAACACAAGAAAAAAAAGGAGTGAATGAGACTTTATGGGAAAATGAAGGGGAAAGAGGTCACATGCAAAGGAGAAGAGAATTATCTGAGGAGGGAAACTCATGAATGAACTGAGAAGGAAATATTTAAATTCAAATGTAACTAAAATGCAAAATTAAGATTATAATACAAAGAGAAAGAAAGTATAATAATACTAGAGAGTGTGAATATTGAAGCACAGCCAGCATGGCTAATGAGGGGAGCAGCACTAGACAAAGAAGGAAAACAGAGATACACAGGCATTATACAAGAACAAAAGGAAAAGCACACGGCATCAATATTGAATATCAAGATATATGAAGCGAGACAGAGACTGAAGAGCAGTTATAGAGGGTGGGAGGGTGGTAAGGGAGGGTGGAGGAAGATAAGGTAAGATGGGGAGATGATAAAGGAGTGGATGGGGGATGTTAATGATGGATGAGAGTGGTAGCAGAGGATGAGGGATGTTCAGTAATGGTGAGGAGGTGGCAAGGGAGGATAGAGAATGAAAAGGAAGGGTAGGGAAGGGAAAGTAGGGGATGTTAAGGAAGGGTGGAGGTTAGTAAAGGAGAATGTTGGTGGGCGGAAACGGGCAAGGAGAGTATTAAGTAAGAGAGACTGGGGGAGGGTGGGATGGAATGGAATATGGGGAGGGTACGGAGACTGAGATTGAGAAATAGAGAAAAAGAGAGATCCAATTTGGATAGATGATGTCAGTATAAAAAATAATAGAATGAGTTCACCCTATTCTCTATTCAGTCCAGCTCACAAGGAGAAAGACAAACATAGGCACACCGACAGAACGACAGGGATATGGTGGGAAATGAAATGAAAGAAAGAGAAGACAGTGGAAATGGAAGAGCAAGCGCGATAGACTAAAGAAAAACAATTGGATTAAAGGCGAAGAAAATAACAATAGACGAATTGAATAATACTAATAATACTAGAACAGGAAAAAGTAATGATCAGAAAAAATAACCATGGAATAAAACTTAGATGAGAATCTAAAGGACGAAGAAAGACGAGAGTAAGTGAACTTGCAACAGAGGTGAAGGTTGAGAGCAACATTAGCAGACTAAACAACGAGGTCATCGAGTTCAGGAGAGACTGCTAATAAAAACTAGCGATACGATCAGAGAGCACAGAGATGGAATACAGCAGAGATAAGTAAACACCCTCCTTGAGAGCACTGTATTAAGCTTGGAAGCAAGAGATAAAAGAGTGAGGAAATCTAGATAAATGGGATACGAAGACTGTGTATGTGTATCAAGAGACTCAAAATGAGACTCGCGTAGGAAAACAAAAATCACATCATGGGAAGTCACATCAAAAGAAAGGGAATCACGCATGAAAAAATATCACGCATGTAAAAGGGTCACACATATTAAAAAGGTCACAAAAAAGGGCTCACACACGACAATGTCACTCACGAGAAAAAACGCATAAAATATATAACATGAAGAAAATGGTACACATGGAGACTTGAAACTTGTTGTAAAGAGTTATGCTTTAGGCGGTAACAGAGGCCACAGACCAGGACACGCACGGCTCAACAAGCAGCCACAGAAAGCAAGTAGTTTTAAGGTTATTAATTTTTGTTGACACTGGAAGGTATTGACGTCACGCCAGCAGGATGGGACACCCAAAGGAGGAGCAGGGAATGGTAGGAGGAAGTGAGGAGAGGGAGAGGCATGTGGAGGACGAAAATTGAAAGGAAGGACAATGATAAGGTAAACGAAGTTTAAAAGGCGGAGGCTTAGGTTGAGATAAAAATATAAAGAGAAAATAAATGCGGAAGAGAATAATAAGCAGCAGAAAGGAAGGTGGAAATGAGGACGAAAATGAGCGAGGAAGGAAAGCTGTAGAGAAGCAACAAGAGAAAGAAAGATGGACGAGGAGAAGCTTTAGGTAAGGAGACATAAATGAAAAGCTGGTGAAAGTAGGAGAAGGTAAGTATATAATGGGAAAGAATAGGAAACGAAGCAGAAAGTATAGTGGAAAAGGGAGGAAGAGGAATATGAGAAGTAAGTAGAATGACGAGAAAGAAGAAAGGAAATTATCAAAATATATTTGATTATTAAGCTCAAGAGATATAGTAAAAGCAAATAATTAAAAATAATATGTTTATGAAGCTATCAACACATTCGTCTCATTTATTGTCAAGAAATTTTTTTATGATTAGAGAGCATAACATGACAAGGAAGAAAGGAAAGACAGACGAAAAACAGATGACGGTAAAGAAAGGATCACAGAGAAAGAGAGACAGAGAAGAAAGAGGTATCAACTAAATGTGAGATTACAGGGAAGCTCAGACTAAAAATGAAAAATAGTACAAAAGGAGAGAAGAATAATTCTGTTTGGAGTAATGAGAAAACTATTAATAATAAGAGATAATAAGACAAACAATACGAAGATAAACGTGGCAAAATAAATATATAAACCATTAAAAAGAAACAGGTTGAAAGAGCGGACTCAAGTGACCTGTAGTGAATGAGTCATGGTTTTATAGGTTATATGTAAAGACATATTATATATATAATCATTATATATTCCAGTATATAAATCAGTATATATAATGGTGAATATTCCTATAATATATATATATATATATATATATATATATATATATATATATATATATATATATATATATATATATATATATATATATATATATATATATAAATTTTTTGTATATATAAATATATTATATATAAATAATATACATAATATATATATATATATATATATATATATATATATATATATATATATATATATATATATATATATATAACGAGGCTAAACTCGTATATAATGTGTGTGTGTGTGTGTGTGTATGTGTGTGTGTGTGTGTGTGTGTGTGTGTGTGTGTGTGTGTGTGTGTGTGTGTGTGTGTGTGTGTGTGTTGCTAGAATTAAAGAGGAAAAATTTTCACGGGCAAGGTTGATACAGAAGCATTGAAATGGTGAACTAGGAGCAACATTGTGGTCACTTTGAGAATTAATATAATAAAATCGAATCAATGGAGTAACATGTGGTAATGAAAATAATGTCAACAAGAGAATGAAGCAACACCTAAGAATGAAGCAACATTTAAGAATGAGTTCTAAAACTAGAATGATGATGAA